ACCTAGTGTTTCTGTGATTTCTGTGATCTGTGATCATCAGTCTCTCATGAGCTTAGCAGAGCTTGTTACTGAGATAGGAGTTCCTCAAGGTATTACAGCGAGTAGTCTTGTTGCTTTGCTGGGCAGCATTTTTCCCAGCTACATAAAGATTGAACCCATGGCTGACAGCTGTTCTGAAGTAAAATTTTCTAATACAGGTATTTTTATGAATGAAACTTAAACAACAATCTGTTTTATAGCTAATAAAACACTTAGTAATCCTTCAAAATTAAATACTCTGGAGAAAACCCAAATCCTGTGAATTGTAACTATTGATGAGGATGATTCTCTAAGTATTTCATATGCTATAATTAACATATCATACTCTACTGTTACGAGAAACATATTTACCTCAGTATATTTGCAGTAGCTTTCCTTTCTTGTGGCAGAAGGTCAGGGTCTCTCAAAACTTCTTCCAGCAAATTTAACACATTAATTTTCAACTCGTTATTCAGCTCAAAATCCTATGAAAGAAAACAATTTTAATTTCTTTGGTTTTAACGATGTTGATCAAATAACTGAAAGGCTGTACTTTTTTTCAATTTTGCCTTTTTTTTTGCTATTAGGTCTGAAAGTATTTTGAAAACTTGGGAAGCTGTTGTACTGAACAGGCTACAAAAGTGGGAGCCCAAAAGGCTGTAATTTATCTCCTTTTCTGACCTTTATCTTCAATGTGGAAATGGGAAAATCACTTAACCTTTCTCTTCTCAAGTAAGAACCACATCTCACCAATACCCACAAAATGTCCTATCCTCTCTCCTCCTGTGATGACTATAAAAGCAGAAAAACAGTTTAATTGCAATACTGAGACCACTGCCTGGAGAGGCTAGACACTGGCTTTTTTTCACTGTTTTCCTGTGTTTCTCTGTTTATCTGCCTCCCACTCTGGTATTTTTATCTCATACGCACCCTTTTGGAAGGGTCTGCTTTTTGTTCCATGCAGTGGAGTACCCAGCCTAATTCAGCTCAATAAACCAGACTAGTGCTCTCTGGCACTGCACATTAAGAGCTTTAGCATTTTAATTATTTCTCAGGGAGACTGATATCTGACACAGGAAAACCCAGAAATCGTTTCTGTTATCTCTGATATAGGGGAAAATCAAAAGAATAAACAATGTACGAACTCTACGGCAGGAACTTACAGGAGTAAGTTACATTCCTTACATTCCCTCCAAAAATGCTGAGCTCAAAGCTAGTATCTTAATAAGAAAACTAAACCCAAAACCTTCAGTCATCTAGTGCATCACAGATCTTCCGATAATCCAGTTACTTGCAAGGATGAACATGTTGTGGCAAGCCCCTGCTTGTTTCCATGGGAACGGAAGCCATAAAGTTATTGAAACTGGGAAATGTTAATTTTCCCAAAGAATCAGCTACAACCCTTTCTGTTGCAACAGGCTCCTAAATTCGACAGGATTTCTGGAGATATGTGTCTCTGAGGAGAACCACCCCTGGTGAAGACACACCTCCTCTTATAATGTGTTTTACTTGAAGGGATGCAGGAGCATCAGAGCACACCCAAAAGTCACGAAAGAAGGTGATACTTAGTTTGAAAAAGGGATGAAATAGTTAAGATGAGGAGGAGGACTCATGTTCATTGAAGAAAGTGGTGTCACACACTTACAGCACTTTTTGAGAAAGCTTAATGCTAAAAATGCTATCGCTCAGAAATACCCTGCTGTGGCCACCGGCAATGCCCTGGACATTCCCCTCCTGTTACAAGCATCCCTTTTTACCCTTCAAAAGTCTTCTCAACTTGGCCAGAGCTAATTCATATTTTGCAACCAATTGATATATGTGTCTTAGTTTTTTGTGATGTTGGTCCATACTAGAGGATGTTGGAGGAGAGGAACCTGTACAGTATTAGGCTTTGAATGGTTACATATGCCTCAAAAACTAGCAAAAACATAGTTCCAGGTACTGCATTTTTTGTTTTATAAAATGAGTTTTCTGTAGCCATTGTCTGAAATGCCTCCTTTAGGAACTGTTTTAGCCTGTTTGCAAAAGAAGACAGAGATTTTTCTTTTTATTTATTTAGGATATGGAAATGGGACTAATCAGTGAAAACATGAGGAATGTAACTAAACCACCTGAGAGTACTGTTTGCTCCAGTGATTTTTAAAAGAAAACTATTTGGAATATGAAACTATCAAAATTTAGCTATAGGAGAAACCTTGACTTAAGCAACTAGTGTAATTAATAATAGTATTGTCTGCCCTATAGTTTGATGGTGGTGACTCCATAAAAACAAGTCGGGTATCTTTGCGAGTCACGCCACAAAAATACCATCAATGAACAGAGAAGGTATCCAAAAGCTGACAAACATAACATCCTCATTTAGCACGCTGGGTAAATTTCTCACCTGCCACTGTAAATGGGCAGATCTCAACAACATGATCAGGATTTTATCTTATGTTTTTCAAACCATAATTGGTTGATTATTCTCATTACAGGATAATTTTTGTCAAGAAGTCTTGCTTTAGTGCAGCTAAATTTATCACCAAAGAAGTCTGTATCCTAAAAGTTATACAATTTGTGAATCAGCATGGGGAAGCCTTACCTATGACTATGAGACTTGGGAAAAAAACCTTTCAGTTTTGCATGTTTACAAGCTAATTCTTATGAGTAGTGAGAATTAGTACATTGTACACTAACAGCAAAACATGTTTGTTGAGTAATGTCCACAAGACAGACCTGGAATTGCTGGAAAAACTCATACTGTTGGCAAGCTATATGGACACTTAGTTCCTAGGGTTAAGGCTATCTCCCATTTCAATTACGTTGGCTTTGGAAGAAACTTCATGGTAGAAAAATGCACTTCTCTAACCTCAGAAAAACAAGAAGCCCTAGACCCTGTATCAGCATAGCCAGCCCAAACTATCGTGGACAATAGGGACTGATGAGGGGTTATAGATAGAGGATACATTGGTTTGTGTGGCTCCTTCATCCCAGCTGCTGTCACACCTCCACACCAGTCTGATCACAGCTAGAAGATGTTACTTCAAACGGCAGCTTTCACACAGGACAGACCTTGCCTGTTGTCTTACTGCCCAAGATCTCTCCAATGTGCCTGGAGGTATTCTTTTTTATAGCAACGTGCCAGCTGCTTCTTAGAACATGAGGAGAAATAAAATGAAAAAAGGTGGGATTCAGAAGAAAACTGGAGAGCTAATCTCTTTTTCTGCTGAACTTCTCAATCTAGAAGATTGAGATTCCAGTGTGATGAGCAATGTATTGGAAATCTAGGGAAATCATTGCCCTTAAACATGTGTATATACTTAATCCTACATGGAAAGGTTAACATGAGAATTATACAAACACCAAAATACTTAGCAACCAATTAAAAATATAATTTATAAAAAATTAAACATAAATACATGTAGATTATATGTATCTATATTATGGGTGTTACATATGAATATGTATTAATATATTACATATGTATATTATATATATTCATAGTATAGGCACATACAGATCTATATGTAGCTATATATGGGTCTAGATATACTGTATATATGTATATAACATCTCCATATACAATGTCAGACCACTTTTGTGACATTTTTATCTGCTGTATCACCTTTTAATATGTTTCTCTATTTCTTCCAGCCATTGGAAGGACTTGCAAGAAGATCCTGCCACCATCCTCAGCAGGGAAGGCTGGCAAGTCTGAGTAAACCCTCTACACTGGCTTACATTTAAATTGCTGCATGTGTTAGACTACCCCAACGTTCAGAGAGACGTTTAGTTGGAATTTACATATCACAGAAGGAATACAGTTGGTCAGGCAAGAATCAGTCTGTTTTCCAGCAGGCACATTTGACAGTAGTCTAATCCTTCACGAGAGGGCATATACCTCTAATATAGTCTAGAGTCCATAGTAGCCTAAAGATTTGTGGGTCTTATTCAGATTTTCATTTGACTTAAGCAGAGAAATTAACCAAGATTTCCAAGCAAAATTTAAACTTTTATTTTTAAGTTCATTACTGTCAGTAAGGGGAAAAGATATTTCTTCCCTATTTATTTCATATTTATACTACAAAAACCACTTATGAAATGTGCTGATGTAGAAAAAATGACAGCTGATGAGTTAAGTAGGTCTGCCCTGGAGTCACCTAGGATAAGAATAGGATATATGAAGTTCCCAACTGATCAAAAGCACAGTGCACTGTGATCAGCACTGTCTAATGAAGTTTCCAGCAGTAGAAGACTGCAGCAACAGAGACAAGTGTATTAATTTTGCTGTCACCCACCTGCACTATAAAAGCAAAAGCCTCCTCTGTAACTACAGAGCACCAAAGTCAGCATGATTACATTTTAAGTAGACTCATAACCAGTCTGTCGATGTCTACCATACACAGGATTAGACAATAATGTTCTCTTCATAAAGCACAAGCACATTCCCTTGCCAGGAGGAGCTAGGAAAGCTGTGCTGCAGCATAAGAAGTGCTTCAGAAGCAACCTATTCCACCTGAGTTTAAAAAAAAAAAAAAAAAAAAAAAGGAAAATCGAAAACAACCCATTCCCCCTGAGTTTAAAAAAAAAAAAAAAAAAAAAAAAGGAAAAAAGAAATAAGAGGGAATGATGAATTTGGAATCACTGTGCAGAAGAAAAGAGACTGCAGCAGAGGCAGCAGAAAGCAAGAAAAAGAAAACTTAGATATGCTGGTGAGGTACAACTAGAAATTTGTAGATTTACTATCAGTGGCTTATAGAGATAACATAATTTTCAGGTTTTGACATGGGCTCAGTGAAACCCCAAAAGCTTTTCCTCCCCTCTTCCTGTAAGTTTTCCTAAGTAAGAGGAAACATTCTTCAGTTAAACAATGTGAGGAAACACTGAACAACCCAGACAAATAAAAAGGAGCTAAAACTTGAGAACCTAATTTATACCTGAGTACATCAGTGATAAGGACTACAGAAAACACCAGAGGGAGGGAAGGAAGGGGCAGAAGGGGAGAGAGGAAGGAATTGTGCATAGGGAAACCACAGAGAAATTCTAGAGGAAACCCTTTCACAGAATTGCATCATCCAACTTCAACATAACCCTATATGCTTCATGTAAAAATAATCTCATCTAAGTTCAGCTCTGAAACTAGGGTCAACTTTTCAACTCCTCAGGCACCTGCCTGCAAGGCAAAAAAGCCAACTGGCAGGCTGGCTTCGGTGCTCTGTGATTGCCATGTGAAAGGGGAGAAGTAGCATACAGTTGTCAGGGTAAATGCAGCACTACTCCCTCATGACAGTCTTCACTGGATGCCTTTGGACTCATTTTATTAGTTTCTCTCTCTTTTTAATTCTAATCTTCTGTTACAGAGTATTATGTTCTGAGGAGATCCAAGAGTGGAAAGTTCTCCAGATGCTCTGGCCAGCATCGGTGGAACGTGCCACTCACCCAAGTATCACACCCTGAGCTTGCAGGGCTCGTCACGGATGGCAGAACGGTTCTAGCCAGCTGACCG